GTCTCTTTTCTCTAGAAGTTCATTCTCTTGCTCCTCATCCAGATAGGACGTGATGGTATAACATGAGATATGGGATTTGCTTTATTGCTGCATCAAAAGGACAAAACCAAAGTCTTAGTCACTCATGAGATGTTTCTGTCACATTTGTAATCACAAAGTCCATTGCTTGAAGCAAAGGTTAGAATACTGTGATACTTCATGTACAGGTAAACTAGTGACAGCCTGTACTTTGGCTCTCACCTTTGTCTTCTCAGGTCTGAAAAAAATAATTTCCTCATGTGAACTAGGATTTTTCCCCACAATTTTCCATGACTCTGCCACTAACATAATACTGTGACATCTCAAATTTACTGAAAGGTGATCAGCAGTCATTATTTCAACAACCACCATCTGAAAGAGGTYAGATGGCTTCTATCTGAAATGCTAATTACTGCCCTGGAGTCTTGCCTGCTTTTGCCTTGATTCCTCCTTCCATTTGAATAACTCCAGGGAAGGAACAATGCGAAATTTTAATAGAAAATTCTGCACTGAAAGTACAATCTCTGCCATCCATCTTGAGCCCTCACATCAGACATGGGACTGCAGGTGGATACAGGCAACCTGTTGGCTCCTAAAGTTTTTGTATTTCTTTCCTACATCTCTGCCAGCAGTGTGGTTACAGGCAGCAGTGGCAGCAATGTTGCACTGTGTGGTAGGGATCAATGTTCTATAAAGACTCAGTCACAAACAGTTGSTCCCACGAATATCTTATGGACTTCATAGCCTTAAAAATAACAGGAAATATTTCTCACACCCACTGTGAATCCAGTCTTCTAAGAAACAAAGTACAAAAAGCATAATTACTCTATAATTACATTGTAGGTGGTTTTTTATCATAAGATTTCCACTAAACTGCATAATGAAGTACTTCATGGACTGGCCAAAAATAATTGCAATGTAAAATTATGTAATTGGTACACCTGCATTTAAAAATACACAGTGGGGACCTCAGCTGAGTTAAATCATTATCTCCCTGATGATATCAGTCTGGTTCCTGTGCATTAAAAGGCAGATCATGGGAGCAATAATATCTCAATTATGTAGTTAACCTTCTGGTTATATTAATTAGTGATGATTAGGCATGGGAAACCATAATTATGTTACGTACATAACACCCCTTTGAAATTGCATATGAATCCAAACACAAAAGGCAGATGTGAAAAACATCTAACCAGGGCTAGAACCAAYCTGAAACTTAATTATATGACCCTCTTATCTCCAGTCTGAAACACAGCCAGTTGTGAAATCTCTGCTGATATCAAATTTGTAGAAGAAACTGTAAGTTTTATTTGCCCCAGAAGAGAAATGCAAGGTAGAACTGTCCCATATTCCACTTTCATGTGGAGGTTATTAAATTCTGACTAAAAAAAAGACAAATAAAACATCTAGGCCCAGTTCAGCTAATAAACAAGGAAGCTCTGAAACTAAAGAAGCACTTTTTCATTAACTCACAATCTTTTCCATTTGTCTGGGGTACAAACAGCTAAAAATCAGTCTCTCTTGSTCCTGTTTGCAAGAGATCCTGGCAGCCAGAGCATTATTTGCAGGGGACCTTTTTGAAGACTGTTTCCTGAATGACCCTAAAAATACAGTGGTAGACTGAGGAAAYCTTTTCCTGAGGCAGCTGTCTGAGGAATCTGTAGTATTGGGAAGAGGGAGTCAGAGCAAGCAGGATTTTCCACCACTGGCCTCAGGCCTAATTTAAGACTGCATTTTTTTCACCTCCAAGGATAAAGCAAAGCCAATCTGAGCTAACAGTCTTCCCCCAGTACAACAGGAATTTTATCCCAGTAGACCATTCCCTCACAGCAGGACTACAGTGAATAATTATGGTGGAGGTCACTTAGTCTAAATTAGAAAAATGTTATRCATTTYAMTTTTCTGTAGGCTTCTGTCACCTAYTGAAACCCAGAGAAGCTCTGCACTGCAAGAGGAATTGTGGATCTAAACATCCAGGGTTATTCCTGTCATTCAGATGGCAGCATCTTGCCACCTCTGCAGGGAAAAGGAAAAGCCCAGAATATCACAAAATTTCCATTAAAATTAATCCTTTGACAAGTGAATGTTAGAAGAAACAGCACAYTTTTGACCAAACAAATGYACTTTAAATGGAYGGTKTGCAAATGTCAGGYTGAAGTGTTCCAAAGTTGGGAGCTRCCAGAATTAAAGCTGCCTSTGTACTCTGCATTGTACTTGCAGGGTCTTTGTCCCTGTTATTGCCTGGTTCTATTTTTTTTTTAACCTAGGTAACTTGGCTTTGGAAGTTTGACTTGCAAATCTGGCATTTSCAGTTCAGGGAAGCCCCACCTTGCACACTTTTCCTTCCATATTCACTCAATTATTTGATATGCTGTTTGCTTTCAGCAGCAAGGGACACTGGTACAATGTGGGCAGGAATTTTTTATTGACCATAGGATCAAGAGTCTTGGGGTCTTCCCTGTGTCAACTCTGGGGTGTCAGATCAGGCCAYGGTGGCTGAGTTCAGCAGAAAACCCTTCTCAGTGAGGGCCCAGTGAGTGAGGCCCTGTGTGTATTCTGGGCAGAGCAAGGTGGTGACAGTGTCCCTTTASGGACTAAAGGCACATGGTACTTTGCAAATGTAACCCAGTCAGGCTTTAATAAGGCATTTTTCCTGTCTTTTCCTTCACTAAGCCATAAAAATGTTKCCTAATATTTTCAAGCAGCAGTTCCCAAGCACTGCAAGCTGTTCTCTAATGATATTTTCAATTCAGCCTGAGACTCCTGAATGAAATTTCTGAAGAAGAGTTACATAAATGTTTTCTTTTTCAACCTGAATTTCATTCAATATAATATCATAGAAACAATCCTTGCAAACATTTCACTTCAAGAGAGGTGTTTTTTTTTCCTTTCCTTTTCTTTGGCAGTGGCTGTGACAAGAATGACAGCGCAAAACACAACAGAAAGTTATAAATGTTGCTTTTCCTAAGACAGCAAACAAAGTCATGGACTACTGAGGTAGGAAACTGAGGCACTCTGTTTTCAGAAACTCTCACCTGTTTCACCCTGAGGCTGCAGGGAAGGTATAAATTGAGGAGCTCTCTGGGAATGGCAAGTCTGGGACCTGTCAAGCAAAGAGAATGTGCCACCCATATCCCCAGCCACCTAAAAAGGGACAGCAGCAGCAAATACACAATCTAGGGAAGGTGTTTTTATCACTTCAGGGTTTTTTTTGCCTTTACTTCAACGTGCTGCTCAAGCAAGGCAGTCACACCAGGGTAGTTGCCAAACTCTGATAACAATCATGACTCCCTCTTCCTCATGATCATACTCTTTCCATTCTCTGTTTCCTAAACTCACAGCCCTCTCCCAGCTCAGCATCCATCCCTGTCACAACCTGACATGTTCTCTGCTGACTTTCTTCCCTTYCCCCATCCCAGCATTTGYTTTCCATCAGCTCCTCYGACACCACAGGGCCATGCACARCATCTGAAGAGCAGGCACAGGGCAGCCCATGCCAGAGGCCATTGTCACAATGTAACTGTGCAAATGACTGAATTAGAGGCTTTGGCATGGCCTTGTTTATCACTGTTAATGAGGCTGAACCAAACATGMCATTCCTTAGAGTCTTTTGCCTCAYTCCTCTCTTTCYCTTCTGGAATCTTGACCATCCACTCCATTCCACTCCTTCCCACCTCATGCAGCTGCTGSTGAGGCCACAGCTCAGCCTTGTTTAGTGGCACAGATGCGTTCTTAGGGGATAGATTAAATAGGAGGTTGGGACTGGGAGATRCACACACCCAGAGGAGTTTTCTTARGRAAAGACAAGAARAAGTGGTCTTTTGGGAGGCTGAGATTTTAAGAAAGGTATAAGACCCTTCTTCAAACCTTRACTCTTGCTTGTGGCTTTGCATACTTTGTTGTCTCTTACCRTGACACAGTACTTGGTCTGGAGAASTAGAAGCATAAATGGAAATTAAGAAATTAGCTGTAAAAATGCAGAGCTCTGGCCACAGGTAAGATTCCCTTCCATCAAAAATCCTGCATGAGAGTGTTTAGGTCTGGGCTGCCACAACTGAGATTTTGCACAGAGTCATCACTGGGGCTCAGGCTCATGGTATGGCAAAACTGACAAATTTGGGTATGAGGGCACTGAACAAGGTGGCTTCCAAAACTGAGCTGRGCACGTTTCCCTCTGCCTTTCCAACTTCCCAGCAAAATCATCAACCACACAGATGCACTGAAAGTGCTTGTAACWGAACGATAACAGAAGGAATAAAAGCAATTGTGCCTAAACAACTGGGTTTCACATTTGTTCTTCTTCTGCACTTTCCCCTGCCTGGGTGCAATGCAAAGGAAATCTCTGCAGGTGATCTGGGACTTCACAAACCAAGGGATTATGTGCCACAGATCCTGACAGGCCCTGTGCTCACAGCCTGGCAAACACCACAACYCTAATCTCCTCTCTGAGATAAAGTCCATCAATCTTATTCTTACACCAACCTGTGCCACTCTGCCCCTCAGGCAGAGCTCCAAGGAAAGCCCTCCTGGGGAAGGATGTTAAAATCTGCCCTTCCTTGGTACCCTCCTGTTTAACTCACTCTTTTGGCTGGCCTCCCATCAAAGTCGGGTCAACACATATCCATTTTGTCTGCTGAGCTGACTAGTTTTCAATAACAATTTCTCCTTCATTCTGTAACAGAGATCAATAAAACTGCCCCTCTCTCATACTGGCCGAGATTCCAGGAATGTCATTTGCTTTTTATTGTTGCTACTGCTTTGTTTTGTTTCCATTTTTCTTCCTTTTTTTCTATTTTTCTTTTATTCTTTTTTTTTTTTTTTTTTTTTTTTTTTTTTTTTGGCAAGGCACAGATCAATTTAGCAAGATGAAAATGACTTAGACTTTCACTCAAAGTAAAATCTGCACTTTATAACCCAGGATGTAATTTACAATCCTGTCATTAAACTCTGTTAATCCTATTATTATGAAGATAAATAATTACCCATTGCGAAGAAAGGGATTCCCAACAGAGTAGAATTATATTTTCCATCAGTAATGAAAAATATCCCTGCCGCAGTGACACTGGAAATACAGATAGTGAGTACTCCCAGGAGGCCCAGGAAAGGTTTGCTACGCAGGCAGTCCTTCATGGAGCTCGAGAGGGTTGCAGTCAGGAGAATCAGCATCAGGCTCACCAAAATCTTGCCCCTGGCCAAGAGACTGGTCTGGTGGAAGTCCTTCCAGAGGCTAAAGGATGCCAGTGAGTAGAGCTGCAGATCTTGGTGATCCAGCTGCATCTTGTGCATCAGTTTACAAAATTCGCTCTCCCACTTCTCCCCAATGAGGTCCTGGGTGACAGAGCCATACGTTTGGAGGTAGTAAGTGATTTGGATGGCTCTGGCTGATTTGACTCTCTGGTCCTTGCTGTTTGGCACTTCCATGACCCCTCCGAGCTGGTGGCCAATGAAACTGCTCCTTCCATCCTGGGAGAGAAAGCAGAAAAGATGAGCATGTGGTTATCCTGGGATGTGATAAAGTGATAGACTCAGTCTCCTCTCACAGACATGCCCAGAGCTCTGCTCAGACACCACTGCACTCAACAGGAGCTGTGCCATTCATCCCCRTGGGCTTTGGACCTGTCCCTTCTCCCTGCCACAACTCTGTCTCACTCATTACAGACTCATTTGCATTTCTGTGCTGCAGTTCAGGGGCTGCTCAGATATTTACTGTAGTCACAAATGCTCCCAGGTATTTGGGACTGAAATGTTGCATGCAAGCTCCTCACCTCATGGGAGAGGATGACCTTCCACATTTAACTGATGGACAATGACAAATCTCCAATTACTACGAAAAGTTTGAGATAAAGATTAATTTATGGGAGATTTGTGATTTCTTTGGAAATGATTTCTAGAAGTTGGAAACATACAGAAAATGAAGCCTGATTCCGTAGTATAGAGACAGATGCACAAAGTTTAATACCTACCCTGTCTCCAGAAAAATATAATTTAAATCAGACTTTTTGAATTGTTTATTTGAGATTCRTGGATTTATATCAGTGGCAGAGAGAAAAGAATCTACCTCACTCTTCAATTTAGCCAAGATTTTTTTTTTTATATTTCAAGAATATAAACCTTTGTTTTCTCTTATTTTGGTATATGCTAGGACATATGACATATGACAATGAGTAAAGGACACATCAGGCCCACTCATGATCAGCCTCTGTCTATTAACAAAATCGGGCCTTTTTTTTGTTATCTGGCCCATTTAAATACTTGTTTTGTTTATTTATTTATTTATTTATTTCTTTTCTTGTAAGAAGGATCTAATAAGAAAGGTCCTGTAAAAAAGGTCCCTGCCACTGGTTGTAGGATAACTTTAAGTGCCCCTTCCAAGACAGGAGAAGCCTGTCTGGATCTAGAAGATCAAATCCAGTTGCAAACTGAGGAAGACTCAGTGAAGGAAATTGTCTCAGCACAAGTAATCTCTTTGATCAAAAAGTCTAAATCCAGGGATTAGGTGTCTGTTGCACACCAAATAACATTTTGCTTTCTCCCCCACATAAATTGGATTATAAGTTTGCAGATTGATTTCCTCTCGTATTTAATAAAAACTAAACATTATCAAGCCAGTTGATGTTGAAACCACCTTGCAGCAGAGAGTTCACATGAGATAACTTTCTATGCCCAGGCACACTACTGGAATGAGTTGACAGCTTGAATTTGGGAGAAGCTCTGCCCTCCACACACATACATGGTCAGTCACGAGAAAAGGCCAGAACCATTTGGGGAGACACTTTAACATCTATTATATCCAGCATTAACCATTTCTAGAAGCACCTGTGCTGCATGCAGATCATTATCTGAAATTGCTAGACCTGTCCGTAGCAATAAATCCCATCCTAAGGAAAAATCAGCAAAATGAGGCTTTATGAAACATAGATGTCTTCCAGCATGTTGACTCACCGAGCAAATAAATATCAGAAATTGGGAGACAGTGCTGAAAATGTTTTATGTACTCACCTTGCCTTCAATCAGGGGTGTAAAGGAGGTAATCCTCCCACTGAGAAATTTCTGCCTTTGCCTACTTTCATGGCAGGAGCTCACACTGTTCCCARCGTTTGCCTGCCATAGCCCAGGGAACGTGACAAAGTGCTTTTCAGAAGTTCATTTTTTTCCCTATTCCCAGTTGTTATTTCCCACCGAAATAGCGGCTTCTGGCAAGGGTATCCTGGCACAAGCTGACACGAAAGGTGAGCTGCAGTCTGGTGCCAGCTTCTCAAATCACCTGRAGCCTCATTGTAAATGTCACATAAGCAGAGACAGCTATCACAGAGGGGCAGCTGCTGCTGTTCAGACTCCAAAAAATCCTTGTCCCCAGAATTTCATGCTCGAATTCTGTTTGGATTTTTTTATTTCTACTCTTTCTAAGGAGAGGTCATACCTAACACTCAAACACTCACAAAAAGCGCATTTCCAAGCTGGTAATTAAGGCTTGAGCAATGCAGTCCTGGCTCACATCGGATGCAACTTTGCAGCTAAAAATCCCCATTTGGCACCGCCTTGGAATTTTAGAGAGAAATTTCACATTTCCTAAGTGCCTGGGCAGTGCTGACATTCAGAGGCTTGCAGGCACTGCAGGATGCTTTAGCAGCACAGCTCCCAGCCCAGACAGAGCTCTGTAATTCAGGTTTCATTGATTCACTATGCAGCAGGCACGGCAAGGTTATGGGAAACTTTGTGATGACCATCTGCCTTCCCCTGCGAAAAGTGCAGTAAGCGACGGCAGCATTTCAAAGGAGGCAGCCGAGCAGGCACAAATAAATCATGTTCTGCCGTATCTCCCATGAAACAGCAGATAACTGCTATTTTTTACACTGATGTACAATGGGGCACCCAGCTCATATGTCAGCAAAATAGAGAGTAAGCTTTCCAATGGAATTGAGGAAATCACAGGTGCCAGATTGCTGTGAGGACATTTGGTCTGTTCCTTTCCTTCTGGAGGCAGGTTGGTTCCTGTCTRAGCAAGSRGTTTGCCTTTGCTGCTGTTTCAGCRTGCAAACACAAACCATGGGAAAGGGAACCACAGCACMTGGGAAAATGGGCATCTTCTCCAATACAGCTCTTGGAGAATCGTAGAATCATAAAACTGCTTGTATTGGAAGGGGCCTCAAAGATCATTTCATTCCAGCCCCCTGCCATGGGCAGGGACACCTTTCACTAGTCCAGGTCCCTACAGATCCTGTCCAACCTCTCCTTGAACATGTCTAGAGTTGGGACAATCACAGCTTCTCTGCAGTGGTTWCAATCTTAGCAAGGAASACAGAAGAWATASTTGGAAAAAYAGTCATTCATTCAYCCCATTTTATGGATGACAATTGATRWGYGGGAAAATGAAGACCCTGTGCTGCCAACATGAATTTCAGCACCTCCCAGAGTCCAAGCCAGGACTTCTTGACGTCTCATGGGAACTTCAGGGGAGTTACTCACTGCCCCAAGTTCTCTGTTGTCCTCCAGGACCACCTTAGAAAAAGAAGGAGGCACAAAGGGCTATTCTGCTGTACTAAGCTTAAGGTCTGGGAAAACCAAAATGTGGCCACAGTGACTTGTRTAAGTGATGCCTGAARAGCCAGTCAGGTTTTGAGCAAGATTCTTATCTCATATATTYTTATATCATATACTTCTACATGAAAAAGGTGCTTTCTGCTGATAATTAGCACGTCCTTCCTGATTTATGCCTACATGTTGCTATTTTTAATTTCATAACAATAGTTTGGTGTTTCAGGCCACAGTCCCCTGATAACTTTTACCTACATCTGTTGCTGCTCTCTCATCCTATATGCAGAAAAATAACCTCAAATAAACAAGTGATAATAGTTACTGGATCTACATGATTTCATACCCATGTRTCTCCAGAGGAATCTACAGCAGGAGATGTTAACTATCTTTAGCAAGGTCATTTCCATRGCTGGCATSTTGTTTCTGATTTCCAGGCTGTGTSTATGTGTCTTTCTCTTTTCTAATTTTTTTAAATGTCTGATGAAAACTTAACACAGTCTGTTCTCCCAGATTCTGATGGCAAGTAATTCTCTCCAGATCTGAACACCTTTAAAGATGCAATGAAATATAGATCACTTGCTAGGGCATGTGATATTTCATCTAAAACAGACACTGAGCAAAGTTCTTTGCTTCAATGGACAGTACTAAATTGTTTTTTGTGTTCTTCCTTCTCTTTTTCTAGATGCCCCGAAGCCATTTGATATTTTTAGACTCTGAAAGGGAGGAGAATGAGAACTAAGATAACAGGCAGGAACAGCTTCACCCTCATTTTCCCCAGCATGACGGACTTTGCCACCTGTGTCTATGCAGCCCTGACCTTGCATGTGGCTCAAAATCCAAACTCCTTGTTTGTTCAGCAATAGAATTCACCAATGGATACAGAATAAACCCCTACCACTTTCAGGCTGGAAATTTATCTGTAAAGGATGCTTGGACCCTTAATTTCCAAAGAAGATATGCAAGTGGCACGGGAAGTTTTGCTCCAGAGCTAAGGGCCTCTCAGGTTAGAGAAAACCAGCTGCTCCTACTGAGATAAATATCTTTTGCTAGTGATAATAGTAGTAGGCACAGATCCTCTCAGCACGCAGCCCAGAGGGACACTGGAAATACTCCCTTACTACTAAAATTACCTGTGACCTTTTTTTATTTCCTTCATATTTTCAGTGCAGCTGCTTCAGGCCCAGCTCCTACCCCTCTGTGGGGTCACTGCAGCGCCAGCCCCGGGCAGGGCCTCATTGTCTGCTGGGGSATTTGCTTTGTCCAAGATCAYRTKAAATTAGAAAGAAAGCAGGAYTGTWGTCACTAAGGAAATGGTAGGGAGGRCCAGCTGTRRGGAYTGRCACTGAGGGAYRTGKTTTAGTGGTGGGCCTGGCCGTGGGRASTCAATRGYTGGCTCAGCRATYTCAGGGGTCTWTTCCAACATRAATTATTCTGTCATTCATCTCTGCTTTGAATGGCATCAGCCTCCACTGTCTTTCCTCTCTCATGAAAAAGGGAGGGTCTGAGGTATTTTTGGGAGGGTGTGGCTCCTGCCTTCTTAGCACCCTGCTCAGCAGAGGTTGGTGCTGAAGAGAGCTTTAAAACTCCTTTCAAATCTCTGACAAAGAGGGAAGCAGCCCTTGTTCCCTACTGCTTGATCACTCCCATTCAAATATACCTACAGGACCTTTGCCAGCAAATTTATCTCTGTTTTTATTTTTCTTTATCCACTACCTTTCATCAACTGGAGTGATGGATCATTATCAAGCTACATTATAGAAATGTTAGGATAAAGCATGCCATCCTGGTTGCATACTATTTTATCTTAAAAGCTTAAAATGTTCTACAGAGGGCAACCAGGAATGTCTGTTGAAATACATTGTGTGATAAACATCCTAATGAAATCAATGCAGTTGTTTCTCCTTCTGATAAGGACATTCCTACTCTAC